GTATTCCTTCATAGCTGACAACCATAGCTGAGTTGGGAAATGACAAGCAATGCTGACAGTTTCTAAGCTAACTAGTCTGGCAGACAGAGCTTAAGCCAACTAATACTCATGCTCCTCAAGATTATGGCTCTTAAGAAAATCTCTTTTTTTTTAAATTAATTTTCATTTTTCTTTATTCTCTCTCAGTAGAGCATGAAAAGGCAGGATCCGTAGAGCTCTGTCACAAATCCTTCATTGTTTCAACATGAGTCTCTCCTCCCATCCTTTTTCCCCCTGTCAAGTAAACAAGGGATAAATGAGAGAAAAATTCTGTATGCATCAATAAAAAAAAAAGGTAGCACTGGAATTTGAAGTGGCAACTCTTGCAATTCATGCATCACCAGAGAAAAGGGATATGACCCAGAGCGCTTTGTCTAACCACAAATGGACTCGGTCGTATATTGCCAGTTTCTATTTTAGAATCCTTATATCGGAATCAAGAGTCTCTGATAGCAGCAGTCTGGGAAAGGTGGGTGTAGCCCCGGGGTTGTGGTCATGTCTGACACTGTCTTTGGAAACAATTCCCAGAAAGGTGGTCCAGAGCAGGGACTACAGTGTCATGGGAGAAGGAGCCATATGTCCAACTAGATTTTCAGTGTTTCGTCGCATTTTGACAGTTAAGATGAAATACGAGCTGCTTTCGCATAGTATCTCTCATAGTATCTCCCTCCCCGGGTGTTGTCGGTATTTGAAAAGCAGGTGTTATTTTTGTGAATCCCAAATCTCCTTTCTCATCTCCCACCTTGCTCCTGTGTATGTCACACATCTGATAGACAGACAGATAGGTTTTTGTTAAGCATTTCCAGCAAAGTGGTTGTTGAGAAGATTTTAGTTTTTTTTTTTCAGTTTCTAATAATCTCATAAATGCATTTTGATTTTAACACAAGCTTAAGATTCTGATTCGACATTCACTGCAGTAATGACCAGAAAAGAGAACAGAACAGGAGCTGAAATGGGGCGTTCTTTACATAAAAAAAAAGAAATATTTTTCATTTTGTTGTACTTGATGAATTCCCTTTGAAAATGTTCACTGGTTCACTGGAGCAAAACACACAGTGTGACCGCTCTTTTGCTCCGGATTTGGTTTCGTGGAAGCATCCCCTGCTGTTGGAGGAAAAGATTGACTCCGAGATCTCCTTATTCTTCTAAAGACGTCAGCTACCAGTAATAGAAGGAATAAAACAGCGTAAAAAGACAAACAATCTTGAAGTACTCCTGCTGTGACCACGGTGGGGGCACTCTTATTTGACTAAAGGCTACACCCTCCTTTATGCTGCAGAGAAAGCGTCTCTGTCAAACCCAAGCACAGAACAATGGGGGCCAGCCTTGGGCAAACAGGGCCATTTGCATGCAGCTGTTTGCCGTTTCCAGAACCACAAAGGCCAATCAAAGGATCCTTAATGGAGGATGACAAGCGTCAAGCAACCTCTTTGCTCCCCGTCTGCCCCAGACCTCACCACTCTGTCTGCCCTCCAAAAATGGCCTAGTTTTTTTTTTTTTTTTTTTTTTTTTTTGGAACAGTGATCAAACATTCCTTTACTTCTCTTTGTCTCTCACTCACTCCCGTCCCCTAAAGTTTATAGGGTTTTGTCATGACTGTTTCCTGAAGGAAGTTACAGGAGCACAGATGCACCTCAACACGTGTGGTGTGGTTTGGCACTGCCACCAAATGGTAACATAATGACACAAAACCTCCATTTTCTTCTGTTTCATCTCTGAGGGGTTTAACAGGCATTAAGTGTAACTCTGTGAATGTTTTCAGATCAACCCGTCTGAGCCACACTGCCACTTCCAATTTCAAGGGTGTTGATAGAAAACAAAATATGTACCAGGGTTTGTAAGGGGCGGGGGCTGGGAGTGAATTAAAGCCCGACAACAAGAGAAAAAGCCAAAACTCCCAGAATGCAACTTCTTGAGAAGTGGTTTCGGTCTTTGCTTTGCTCTCTTGAGCTCAATAGAGGGCTTAGCAGACCGGTCAGGGGTAGGAATCTGAAAAGCTACTTTCCCCTCAGTCACTCACTGACCAGAATGCATGATTGGGCTTTGTGTCAACAGAAATCACAGCCAGTTATGACAAGTCACCATGGTAATTTGACTAAAAATAATTACAACAAAGCAGTATTCTAGGTGTTCTCTGTGATTCTATCGTGTCATGGTATTCCCAGATACAAAACCAGGATGTAAAAAAAATGCATATTTTCTTTCAGTTTCGGGGCTGGAGTTGTTGAATTTTCTCCCCGCAGTTTTCTCGTCACTGTTTCCCCTGCAGCTGGTGCCCTTCTGTCGCAGTCTTCAACTGCTGCAGAGTGGAGCAGTCAAACAAAGCACAGAACGTGAGATGAAAAGCTTTTCAAACTTCCATAAGAAGCCCGACTTTCATGCACACAAACCACTCTCCAGAATCTTGCAGAACTTGTGTGAACTGGGAAAATCAACAACTACACTCAGAAACCTTTGTTGTCACAGTATTTCCTTCTTAGCCGCGCCTCACTTCTTAGATCTTCGGCAGTATCCAGTTAAGTCGAGCAAAAAAAAAAAAAAACACACTCCCCTGGATCCACTGCTCTTTCTACAGAGCAAAACAAGAAAAGAGGAGAGGAAGGGAAAAAACACACAGATTTGTCATTACGTGCCCAATTACAAGTGGACAAGACAGTCATTAATGAGACAGACAGTGTCCGCAGTTTTGAAAAGGAGCAATTTGTTCTTTAGGCCGCCAGTACAGTCTCGATCCTCCCCTTAATTGATGTAGTGTTTCCACTGCTCTTTCTACAGAGCAAAACAAGAAAAGAGGAGAGGAAGGGAAAAAAAGCAACACACAGATTTGTCATTACGTGCGTAATTACAAGTGGACAAGACAGTCATTAATGAGACAGACAGTGTCCGCAGTTTTGAAAAGGAGCAATTTGTTCTTTAGGCCGCCAGTACAGTCTCGATCCTCCCCTTAATTGATGTAGTGTTAGCCTATGACCAGAGAGATCTATACAAGCAAGAAGGAGGAGGCAAGCAGGGCACAAGCCCAATCAATCGCTAGCTTTCTGTTGACAGCAGCATGCCATCATGCCATAGTGGGCTGATAGATGAGTCCAGTCACAAGTGGACAGCCAGAAAAAGGAGGTTATGAAGGCAGATGGTGTGTGTGTGTGTGTGTGTGTGTATGGGTGCGAGGGTGTTTTATACCAGCGTCGGTCTGTCCGCTCAGAATTTTAAAACTCCATGTAATGCATTCTTTCTGTCTGCTCTCTGTAGCTGCCATGATAAACCCGTCACTCCTTCCGCACGGAATGGCTTGCAGAACAATCATTAGTCTCCGCAGTAAAGCCGGCGACTTCACTCTGTGTTTTATCATCCAGCACACTGGACAGGTTTTCTGAAAGGTTTTGGGTAATTGTAGGAGTTATTGGAAGAGATGGAGCGACCCCACGGCCCTCCACTTATGATTCAGCGGCACTGACGTCTCCTAATGAGGTGATAAACAGCCCGGCTAAGCAAAATCTACTGGCCGTTAAATAGATCATGCTATTATAATGGAATGTCTCGTGGCCGAGTGCGAGAGAATTTATACCATTTGGTCCGTATTTTGTTATACTACTTAACTGCTACCACTACTGGTGTGTTCAGAGGTTCCCTATAATACGCCATGACTTCAACATTTTATTTCAGCAGTGTATCTTTCGCAGATGTCTCTGCGCGTGAGTGTTTTCTTTTTGCTGATGTGACGTGCAGACTGACATGGAATATCATTATAAGTGAGGGAGGCACAGCGGGCTGAAATGACTTGCAGACGTGCGGGTCGGGGGTTTCAGGGGAGGAATTTCAAGCTGGACTCAATTCAGCTCCAACAATGCTATTTGCATAAGACCCTTACTGTCAAAAAGTGTGAGCATAATTAGAGTGAGGGGGCAAAGTGAACCCTGGGCGGTAAGTGTTGGTATATGACAATGCACAGAGGCTGATGGGAACACGGAAAAGGTAACATGCAGAAAGGAGGGCTAATTAGAAGAGAGCAGTGCAGAAAATACACGCACTAGCCGACACCCCCACTGGGACCCACCGTTGACGCAAACAATGGGGCTCAGCTCGCATTACTAAAATGGAGCACATTTGCATGTCGTGGTTAGATTTTAACTAATTGTTTTCTCAGGTACTGTAGTTAGTGAGCTACTTTTTTTCCACCTTGAACCTCTGGAAATCTAGTTCTGAGGGTGTTTTGTTTTTTTTTAAATACGCCTTTTTTAACAGCCTTTCCCCCCTCTCTCTTTAATTTCCATATCTCTTCGTGACAAGACATTTTATTAGTGTAGGTTCAGATTTGTATGAAATAGTTAATTTTCCCAAAAGTGGAGCTATTTGGCTGCACCTCCATGGAACTGCTGAGTTCCATGTATAGATTTTTCCCCTTGTGGACTCCAGACTGTCCTCTCTTCGATCCTCAAAGCTATAAACTAGATTATATTACACTCTATGCTGCCAGGATTCGTTTTTTTTTTTCTTTCTTTTCTCTCTTATTTTACAGCAAATGATTGGGAATGGCAAAGGGCGGGTATGACTGTAAAACACACTATTCTCATACCAGGTAGACTTTACTTTGCAGTGAAGGTTCTCTAGGGGGAGGCCTTCCTCACTCTCTGTAGCCTTTGTGTTTGCTGGAGAATTTCTGAGGTTACCGCTGGCCTCCAGTGACTGAAGATGTGATGGCCCAGCCAATATCCAAGACCACAAAGAGATGGAGAGATGAATTGTTTCGTCTTAGCCCATTCTTGTATCGCGTGTAATGGGCCGTCTGTTTAAAACTGTGGTGAAACATTGGACTGCTGTTGCCTCTTTATTTTATGCCAGTGGATTTTTACTGCATGGTGTGCGGCCTCATTGTTTGAAAGCAGCAATACTTTAAAAAATATTAGATTTTCTTTTTTTATTAATCTTCCTAAAATGATTTTTTTTCTCTCTTTGTCTACCAGGGTTCAGCCGTGCAGCCCTGCCTTTCGGGCTGGTCAGGAGAGAGCTCTCGTGTGAAGGATATGCTATTGATCTGCGTTGCCCTGGGAGTGATGTCATTATGATTGAGACGGCCAACTATGGTCGGACTGATGACAAGATCTGCGATGCTGACCCCTTTCAGATGGAGAATGTCAACTGCTACCTCCCAGACGCCTACAAGATCATATCACAAAGGTAAAACGGGGCAGAGGAGATCTCATTTCAGAAACATAAACAGGGCTTGAGGAGGAACAGTTCTATAAACACCAACTTCAAGAAAGTAAAAGCGACACTTGTATCACTAAAGATACTTGGTGCTTCAGTGTTATAGGCATAGTAATTATAATTTCGTCTTCAGTCCAACAGGAAGTAGATCTGGACTGCAGGCAGGACAATTTGGTACAATATCCCCTGAGCAATGACATCATCTTGATAGCATAATCATTATCATCACCCTTACATATGCAGGAGGATCTTCTGTGCAATGGCTAAAGGTGCACTTTTCATTTGGACAGTCTCTTTTATCTTTATCCCCTGAATCTGACTTGTTTTTTTCCCATCAGTCACTTGTTCTCCGGTTTTATTTTTTGATAAAATGATGGCAATTTTAAAGTAAAGTCAATTTCCATAGAAAGTAGAGATAGTGATTTGCAATACAATAGAACCCCAGGGTCGGAAGTGACTAACTTTCCAGTCTTATTTAATAGACAATTACTCCTGGCTATTCAAAATCGGGCCCCAAAATTATTTACTGAAGAAGGTAAAGGCGCAATTTATTATTGCGTCCGTGCCCCGAGACAGATTATTTTTAAAGTAGTGGCCTCTTCTCTTGTCACGGTAAACTCATGGTGGTAAAAAAAAAAGACAAATCCTTGCTGACAAAGACAGAGACTTTGGTGGATGCACCGTCGATGCCTCACCGTCAAGATTCAAGGGATTCATTTGTCACAGTTATACACAGTACGCTCTCCCAACCTTTTTTGGATTATGTCAAGATTCAAGGGGTTCATTTGTCACAGTTATACACAGTACGATGCACAGTGAAGAAACATATGCAGACGAAAGATAAAATAATACAAAATACATGTTCATATACTGCATATATATGTATTTATATTTGTATTTCTTTATTTTCGAACTCATTGGAAAGGTCACCTTGTCTGTGTACCCACCTACATGACGGACCATTAATCAGCAGCAGGCACCTTTATTTTCTTCATGGTTTTGTGACTGGATTATGAAGTGCCATTTGAAAATTTGAAAAACTGGGGCACAGATTAATTCTTGACAGACAAGAATTGACATCCGTGCGGCACTTCCCTTCACGCCAGCTGCATGGTGCTGCTGCCGTTGGAATCATAATCACCCTATGGCTCAAAGACACACTAAGTCACACGAGTCACACATTCCTAATTCCCTAACTGCTATACTGGGCTCACTTTGTTCAAACAATTGTAGTGCAACTGAAGTGGCTGTGCCTCAGGTAGTGAGCCATGCCCATCACTGTGCCTTTTATGCTGTTTACCGTCTCGCAGGATGCTGCCCCGTTGTCAAACGACGGCACAGCAAGAGAGACTGTGCTCCACTGCTGCTCACCCCTAGAGGTGTGTGTGTGTTTCTGAAGGACAGTGGTTGAAGTATTCATGAAAAGTAACCTGCACAGTTCATCTTCTAATGCAGTGCTCTGTCCTAGCCGTGCTGCTGTCCCCCCCGCCCATCAACACCACCAACCCCCTGACCTTATTTATACTGGGTGCCTGGCGTGATGGCAGACCTTCCTACTGGCTTTTTTACGGCTTCATTTGCGTCTTTACTCCCTTGATGAACTGCAGCACCACAAAGTACCGCAGGAATAGATCCTGCTGTTGCACTTTTCTAAATATGGAGCTCAGTCCCAGGACACCAGTGGTAGCATCCATGCCCTTCACTTTGCCTGGAACCTGCTACATTATGGATGGATGGATAGTATAGTCGATCAACATGGACTGTAATGACTGCTAACTTAATCGACAACAATTTTTAATTGTCTGTTCTTTGCTCATACATGACAGGAAGTTAAATGCAAAGATGTTTTTTTATTTTGGTTTCGTTTCAGGCACAACAAACAACATTCACCCCCTTTTTTGCATTTTATAAACCTAGTAACTTTTACATTAATTAAAAAATACTAGTCCTATTAATTAAGTACAAAAACAACAGTAAGGTGCCGCGCTATTGTGCACTCCATCTGTTGACAAGTCTGACTCCCACTTGCTGGAAGCCGCACTTCAAACCTATCTTTGTGGATTTCCCCAGAGGTGCTGTGTAAGTGAAAGCTTTGAGGAGACTCTGCACTGAAAGCTGCACCACAAGCCCTTAATCATCAGAATTATTCTAATGATTCAGATCAGAGGAAATGGATTCTTGACTGTAATTAAAGTTGATGTGATAGCCCTAGATGTTAAAGCTGTCAAGTTTTGGGAGAGCCTGATTACTCATCCTTCAGGCTGCAGTAAACTAAAACACCACAATTAGGGACAATAACTCTGCCAACATTGTGAAAATTAATAAAACGGAACAGCGCGGCAGACAGATACCGTAAACACAGATATTAAACAATATTGGGGAGACACAGCGGGGAGGCCTGCTGCACAGTGTGGCAGTTCTGCTGGTTTTGAAAATTGCGACCAGAAATAATTACCAGCCGTCAGTGCCTGTAAACAAAAACAAGCAGACAGGAATTAGATGTTTTAATATCAACATGTTTTGTCAAGTAAAATATTTGGATGTTGAGGATGTAGCAGGATAAAAAATGCTTAAAGAGGCTGATACGTATTTAACCGTCAGTCACAGCCTGTTTAATATGTAAAATGGAAAGGACTTTGCCTTTGCTCTTGTCTTTTTCAGCCTCAGGGTTTTTTGTAGGTACACAGAGTATTTCAGTACAGTACAGTCAAAACAGGTTTTGACTTAGCAATGACATATAATGCCCTATACTGTGGCTTCAGATTTAAACCCTTTGTCTGGAGTTTGCAATTATTTCCTGAGGTGGTGAAACCAAATTTTATTATTGGGACCATGGTTGAAACTGAAGACAATGTTTTATTTTTTTTTACTTAAAGCACAGGTCTGCATTTACTATAATAACCAAATGGTATGAAGTCGTCACAACAATAGTATTTCAGCCTAGGAAAATATTACGACAGGGGTGTCAAACACCCGGCCCGGGGTCCACCTCTGGCCCGGCCTGACCAGTGGATAATAATAATTGAATTTTGTCCTCATAATCATTTTCTCATTTACTTTGATATACAATCGTTTTTTAATTAACAAATGCTTTAGTTTACATTGTTTAAGAATTAAGAAAAGACGTGTTTTATATGCAGTATTTATATTAAACACATTTCTTTTTTATAAAATACCAGGGTTTTTCTTTTGCTGAACATCGAGCTCCAATGAAATGACAGCAGCAGCCGTGACCTTCAGCTTCTTGATCGCCTATGTGCATGTAGATAAAAAGGCGTTTTATTGTATTTGAATCAAATAATAGTTTCCCTTTTTTTAATCGCTTACAATTGTAGCTCAGAAGAAAACCAGTTGCATTATCAGCACTGGCACGTTTAAATTCCAAACCAGGGCACCAGTGATTAAAATAATAATATAAAAAAACGACTCCAGAGCCCTGCTCTTTCATTTGACCCAGGAAAACCTTCACAATGAAACATTCATGTGGTCAGCTACTGAGTAGAACATGAGCAGGAATCATGGGAAATTAAACTCCTCTTACAGGAATCTTAGTGCAGTAGTGATTTCAGGGAGCCTTTGTAGCAGCAGCTGAAAACAGAGGAAGCGTGTCAGAATGTGTAGCAACAACACTTCTCTTTTGTCCAGGAGAAAAGCAGCATTCAGAGATCACACACACACACACACTCACAGGAATCTTAACCGTTTCAAACCTGCTGCAAGTCGGATCCTGAACTAATCAGCAACTCGCACAATAACAATAGATTTAATGATAATTACGGGTAAAATAAGAAAGAATTTTCTGTAAACACGGTGAATCAACAAAGCGATGCGGAGCCTTTGAGCTCACTGTTTTGATTTTTGCTGTGTGCTTCACTCTCGCTGCTCTCGTGTGTTTATTTCCAGCAGCAGCAAGTGCAGCTGTAGGCAGCTCTTTGAACAACAACACAAAGCAACCTTCTGATAAACAACAGCATACAGCCCAGGTTGGACATCAGACGGAGGCAGCAACTGGCTTCTGAACATAGTGGAGCATTTAGAATCTAAAGAGCCACATGTTTACCTCCACGGTTGATGGAGACCCAAAGCTGAGCTGAATGGAAAGATATTGAACTCACATTCACGAACTGAAGACGCCTCTTGGATGCGAAGTCTAGTTGACACGGACAGACAAGAACGTTCACGGAGAAAGAGAAGCATTTCAATTTTTTGAGCTATATTCTCTTTGTTTCCTAAACGAAATCCACAACACCGCGTTGTATAAAAGCAGTGCGTCATATATTATGTGAGCTATCTGCTAAATATAACTGCAGCTGACATGTAGCGGAGGAGAGAAAATTATTTCTGGAACTACCTATGTGGAAAAATAAAATATTTAGCTATGTTAAGCCACAGGTATCTCAGAATTATTCATGAAGGCAGTACATGACTCACTTATGTCTGACTGGCACTGTATGTCAGTAAAAAAGAAAAGTTTAAACAAATCTACAAGGTCCAAATATTTAAAAAATACGACATAGAAAAAGTTAAATAGTACAAAAGTATCCCCCGGTGTGTTTAAATCCCATCTACTGTTACTGTTTTTCCCACGTAGCAGCACGACTTCAGCTACAAAAACAGTGACTTTCTTAATTGCCGCTGGAACCATTTATCTGCGATGTTTAAAGCACTGCTTTTAGGACTAATGCTATTTGTTCACTTCCTAATAGGTTTTGCACCTTTTATTCATTATGACTTTAATGTGAAGTAATCCATTAATGTCAAGGTTTTTTTGTTGAGCAAATGCAAAGCAGGGTTTTAAATAAGTCTCGTTGTGAAGGCAACATACATTACCCTTTTGTATGCTCTACCTTAATAGCAGTTAAAAGTGCACGGGCGAGGCTTAATGTTTTTGAATCACCATCACACCCTCTCTTACCCCCCCCCCCCCCCCCCTCCCCCCCCCCCCCCCCCGCACACACACACACACACACACAGACCTTTTCTACATCCAGAGCAAACCTCTTGAATTACTAATGTTTCTTTGAATGTCGTGTCTCATGTTGAAACGTATGTCCATCTTGAAAAACGTCTACTGACCTTCTGAAATATTCATCAAACGCTTGCAAATGGTAGAATGTCCTACTTTGGTGCCTTTCTTTCCTTGTTTGCCTTTGCTTCTACTGACTTTTTTTTTTTCTCAATCCTTCGGCCCCTGGAGAGCTTGATTGAAGTTAAGCCAATTTCACCCTATACAGTAGTTACACAAACTCACTTCTTCGGTGCTCTTTTTTTTCTCTTTTTTCTAATTTACATCAGCTCCTGTTTAAAGCGCCCAGGCACATCGACAGACGCACATTAAGGGACATTTATTAAATCAGAGGAATAACAACCTCATAAAACCCGACACGGCCACATTGTGTTTGTTGCTCATATATGCAGAGGAGCAGCTCTGTTTCAGCACAGGTCACTCATTCCAGTCTGCTGCATGCCATCGCCACCTGTTGTTTGTGTTTTAATGAATGTCTTCCCCTTCAATAGCAGTGAGAAGACGCTGTTAAGGGAAATGCCATCACTAATTCCTAACAAGCCTTCAGCTGCTCTCACTTGGTTCTTCATTATTATGTCCATGCACTTTCATTTTGCCTCCTTAATGCTTTCATCTCTCTCTCTCTCTCTCCTCCTCTCCCTTCCTCAGTTCATCAAGATTTAACATAGAATATTTTAGTGTCAGCCCAGACTTGGATTTTCAACAGTTTCATTGTTGACATGACAATGAACTTTTCCTGCTCTGACTTGTTAATGTTGTCTTTGTCGAGGCCCCTTTGTTGGAACTAATCATGATGAAATCTCTCGTCAATCTTTTTTTTTTTTTTTTTTTCGTAGGTGCAACAACCGTACGCAGTGTGTGGTTGTCACCGGCTCTGATGTCTTTCCTGATCCCTGCCCTGGCACCTACAAGTACTTAGAGGTCCAATATGAGTGTGTTCCTTATAGTAAGTACATCTCACACACTCAGTAGTGTTTGTGTTCAAAGTGTATTCATGTGTTTTATGAACAACAAGAACTATTTAGAGCCAGTCATTTAAAGGTGTTTTTTTACATCACTAATGAAAGAACATTGTTCCTTAGATGAAATTAAATGATGCAGATGACAGATCTGCAGACTTTATAAATGGTTTAAGCCTTAACAAAATAGAGAATGGATCAATAAAGATGTCATATATTGAAATTCTCTTACAAAGGTGGATGTAAAGTTGTTTTTTTTCTATGAATCTTTAAAAATAGAACTACTCCTAGATGTGTTGTTGAGTGGGATATTTCAGGCTGGACACAGTTTAGGTTAGTGTGATCAAAGAATAAGCACATATAAATTCAGCTCTGGTGTGTAAGCAGCTGAATTTAAATTCCCTAAAACGTCCTCAGTACACCTCATCCCTGGTCATCTGAAATGTGTTTTTCCATTACAGTGGTAGTAAGTGGATTTTTTTTCCTGGCTTGTGGCGCTAACTGCTTTCAGAAAGTACAGTTTCATATAGGCAACAGCGAAATCTCTTTCCAGGAAATGTTTTTTTTTCTTCTCATACTAAAGATAATATGGACCTGAGTGTGAGTGAACTGCTCAACTTCCGATAAAGATATCAGTTTACACTGCTGTAACAATCAATGAATATAATTTAATATCCATGTTGTTTTTTGGGGGCAAAAAAAAAAAAAGAAAAAATCAAGGAGAATGAATGACATTAAGAAGTTTTAGACGTACATACTTTCTTGGTCAATAAAATGATCTGCAGGACCAGGGTCAACAAGGATAAGGATTCTTTCATATTGAGTGAATTTACCCTTTAATTTTTTTTGAATGACATTAAGAAGTTTTTGTGTTTTTCTGCTGACACAATCATAGAGTTTATGTAGCAAAAATAGCTAAATTATAGGTTTAACATTGCAGCACAAACAGGAAGACTTTGTGGGAGAGGATATTAGAGCATGTTTTCAAAAACTGTGTCATGTTGATATATCTTTCCTTCTCTTCCTCATGAAATTGACTTTTTGCAGTAATTCAATCCATTGTACTAAAATGTACAAAGTCTAGTTAGTACTCCCAGTTTCACATGTGGTCTGAACTGCAGGGGCCTTTAAGCGTCTAAAGAGAAAGCTCACTCCAGTAGCATATTTGCAGCTAAAAGATAGCATAAATAAAAACAGAATGCTAGATTTCCATAAGGGTTAAAATATTGATTCAATAACACAAAACAGAAGTCACAGGCTTGTTGTATCAAGCCCCTGCTGGCCAAAAGTGACATTGCAGCCACTCTATGTGACTATGAAATATGAGAGTCTAAGAGGACATTCATTTTTATAAACATAAACTCAATGGTTGCAAGTGCAAATGCCTTTACAGCTACTCAGAGAGTGCAGACCTCCACCGTCGGGGCCTGGAGTGTGTAAATTAGGCTTAAAGCTGTCATTGTTTTAAACTACATCTGTACTACTGGGTTTAGGTTTATCAGGCTAGACGGTGCAGAGGTTTATGTGTGTGCACAGGGGGCTTCATGACGGCTCGTACGAGTACGTACTTAGTATTTATGATGACATATTATAAACATTTTCACCTCTTCTTTTTTCCTTTTTCAAACAGACCTCCCTTTCACCTCCTGCTGCTCCCTCCCTTCACTAACCTCTTTGCTCTCCAATTTTTTGAAAACTTTCAATTATTCACAGATTGTCTCTGGTTCCAAACAGCTCCACAAAAGAAAGCCTGCATTAAGGCGACTGTTCATTCTTCATCAAACGACCTCTCGCAGTCCTTGGCTCATTTAAGGGGTTTAGTCTGTAATATTATCACCGTGTCATGTTTTTACGTGTGTGGGCGAAGAAGTTTGGATTCAACTTTGGATTTGTGTTTATAAAGTTTGAACTCCATCCACTGTTGATACAAGCTAAAAATAAAACTCTTGGGGTTTAATCTGCTGAAGTATGACCGAGAATTATTTCTCTTCCTGCTACTTAGGACGTGCAATTTTCCAAGGATTTGGTCTGTTTTTGTTGCTAAATGCATTTTGGTTGGTATTTTATACGTGTCGGTATAAAAAGATGAATGCAGTGAAAAGTGTGGCATTTTGCTAATTCACAGTCATAACTGTTTTTATATCCTAGGACGGGAGGCCAGTGAGTAATCAACACTTTTTTTCTCCCTCCCAGATTCTCTTTTTTTTTCGTACAGCACGGCGGTTCATCTCATGGTCGTATCCTCCGACTAATTCTTCTCTTTGTGACTGCTTGATGTCTCATGATAACCTTTCTCTCCCTTTTGCACTCTTTTTTGCTTTCTTTTCCAATGCCTGAAATAGAAGTGGAGCAAAAAGGTAAATCAGTGGTCTGGTCCCCCCCTCCCCCCTCCTCCAGCTCCTTGTTCTGTGGTGTTGAGTACAGCTCCCCTCACGTCTCCCACCCCCACCTCCTGATTGCCTCTCCTGTTAAATGCTAAACCCATAGGAGGATTGTTTGCACCCATGGAGTCCAAATAAATTCCAAACACGATTTAAAATGACACCCACGGTCGTCTTATATAGTTTTTGTTTTTTTTCCACAATGTGAAAGAAAACACCAACTGTTGGTGTTGGTTTGTTCCAGAGAATCTTGTTTAGCGTTCTACTGACTCTTGTTGAATGACTAGCTGTTTGTACTTAAGAATCTCTGCTCTTATTTGGCTCAGCGTGTAGTCTGCTTGGCCAAATCTCTGCTGCACCCATAGCACGTAACGTGAAGTAGCAGTGATGGTTGAGTGAGATTGGCACAGATCTAAAAGGAGTCTCGAACGAAGGCGAGCAATTATTGTTGTCCAGAAACAATTAATTACAAAGCAACCAAAACGGGAACGTTGCCAAGGCCTCTCTCACCCATCAGTGGTTAGTTTTGGTTTTTTGCCACAAAAGTTGTGAAAATTCCTCTATCACTTTTCTATGGATTCCCCAAACACACTTTCATTTTACCTCTGCTTTGCTTCCACCTCCATTGACAACATGTTGTCTACCCACTCACAAGATGTGAAGTCTGTTCCCTTATCATCTTAGTTTATTACCTCTGTCATGTCAGTATGCATGTCCAGTGTCGCCATTACACAGTTATTTATGTGGAAATTGACAACAGGGACAAACTGGTATGATAAGGAAGAAAAAAAAAATAAAACAAACCTCAACTTGTGATCTCTACTTCTCCTTTCATTTGCAGGATTTTTTTTTGTTATTCTTTTCTTTTTATATCCCTGTTAGGATGTAGGAGCAGAACCCTGAGATGCAAGTTGTACACATTGATCATTCTGATGAATCGCTATGACACATTCATTTATTTTCCCTTTTCCCCTGCATCATTAGCAGTAGAACAAAAGCATTAGTTTAAATATTCCTACAAATCCACAGTCCCTGATCTTGAGT